ACGGATGAGCTTACCATGTTCAGAAAAGAAAAAAAAAAGTAGCCTGTACTGGCCTAACTGCGGCGCCATTTTCAAAAGACGTCATAACAGTGCTCGCCTATTTGTTCGTGGTGCCGAAAGATGGCCTAACCTCGGACACGAGGGTGGTGCAGCGCCTCGACCGATCATCTCTTTACCGAAACTGGAGAACCACGAGAAATTGCAATCCCTGTTTTCTTTTTCATTACTTTCTAAATTAACATTGGATCGCACTTTGAGGATATTGCATTAGATATAGGCGCGCCGGCATAGTGAAAAGTTTCCGTAGGTCGTTTGCTAAACACGGCGCCGTGTGGTCTACACTTCCGACATTTTGAGATTTCGCGCCGGGCTTGCGCTACCTATAGTCGTTCCTCTGTAGTAAACTGCAGCACGATTAGTTAAGAAACAAAATTTTGATGACCACATAAATTGGATTCGTAACGTCAGTGTACATGTTGCATCTGACCGGACTCCACTATAACGGCTTCAATTCTTGGCAGAGATCCCTGTTACACCGTGTGCAAACAAGGCCTCGTGATTTCGCCTATTTGGTTAATGCTTATCTGTAGTAATACAAATTCTTAAAAATAAATAACAGAACAACTAATATTCGGGTAATGTATTTTATGCTATGTATCGATTCCCTTTTTGGGAATCGATACTCTGTTGATTGTTAACAGAGTATCAACAGAGATTCTACTCTGTTGATTGTTAACCGGAGTTCATGGTCGAGGTTGAAACCAAAAGTTCGATATTATAGTTGGTCAAAATGTCCATCGAAACGAAATGTCCATCGGGTCAAAATGTCCAACAGGTCACGTGAGACGCGTGTCAAAGTGTCAGTTGAGGCGAAATGTCCAATCGGATTGAAATGTCCACCGAGTCAAAATGCCCATCAAGACGAAATGTCCAATAAGGTCAAAATGTACAATATGTCAAAATAGCTAGTGTCGAATTGTCCACAAAGCCAAAATGTATAACGTTTTTTTTTTTTTTTTGTTTGGTTTCAGAAACTCGTTAAAATATATCCCGTAACAGGATTCGTGGTAGTAGATGGCAAGAAATCGGGTATTTCTGATCTAATATCCGGGGTTCCGCAAGGTTCGGTTTTGGGACCTCTACTCTTCTTACCTTATATCAATGATATCTTGGAATCTATGACATCAAGCATGCGAATGTTTGCAGAAGATTGCATGTTCTATAGAAAAGTTAATTGCGATTTGATAGTCTTATCTTTCAAAAAGACTTAATGCAATACAAACGTGGTGTGAAAAATGGCGGATGAATCTGAATTTCGAGAAAACCGTATGCATGACATTTTCCAGAAGAAAAACAGTCTGTGAATTCGGTTATAAAGCAAACAATATTAGCCTAAAAGTGGTGTCTCAGTTTAAGTGTTTAGGCGTTTTCTTTACATCTTCGTTTCATTGGAGTCGACAAGTCGATTATACTGTGGAGAAGGCTTCACTATCTTTGAATTTCTTCCCCGAAATACGCGTAACTTTCCTCAAGTCACCCTGGAGCTGTTGTATAAAACAAATTTGTTATCTATTTTATAATATGCCTGCACTGTGTGGGACCCGCAGACTATCACTGACAGAGATAAACTAGAAAAGGTGCAAAACTTTGCGGCCCTCTATGTATGAGAAGGTAGGTAAACGATAGAAATTTTAGTGTTTCACCTGCAAAAGAAACTCTACAGTTGGATACACTCGACTACCGTAGAGCAAAGCTTCACTTGAATTTTTTTCACAGTATATATCATTCCCCAACCGGAATCCCACGTGACACCTATCTTTTTTCACCACATTATCAATCCGCCCGAGTGTATCACGTTCATAAGGTTCGTTAGTACAGATGTAGGACTGCACTTTGAAGTAGTGCTTTTTTTCCGAAAACAATTTGCCAATCCAACCGGTTACCTTCTACCGTAGTATCAAGTTTGTCAAACGATGCCTTTTATTCTGCCCTGAAATCGGTGAAGCTGCTAAAATAAAAGTTATGCAGTGTGTGTCGCGGAATCGAGGTCTGCTTTGATGTACATAAACTGTCCTGCTGTCATTTGTTGATATAGAGTGATGCTGTGTGTTGCGAAGTTGTGATTTGCTTCCATGTGTATGGAAGATAACGTCAAGTATGCCGTTCATTTAACCCAACTGTACTTCACAAGAAGCCTGCTTGTGTGTTTTCAAGTAATGTTTGGCGTTTGAAACCCCCTTCCCCCCTCCCCCCGCTGTAATGCCGAAAGGCGCTGCGGGTTTGGGATAAATAAATAACTCGGAACCCAGAAGACAAAAGGGACTGAGAGCTCTGAAACCACGAAATGTGCGAAAAATAAAGTGGTCTTCGAAACTTTATCTTTACACATACACCCATGCCTCCCTTTTCGGTGTTTGACCAGTTGACCCAGTTACGAAGTGTCCTATGACGAATTCTCCTATGCGACAATAGCCCAGCTACTAGATGACCTTTTACAAAATGTCTTTCAACGAATAGATACTTAGCCTCCTCCGCTCAGCTAAGTATCTAGAAGGTTCAGTTTAAGGTTTATTGTATTCTGTTGTGTCCGAGACCTTGTGGTGTGGTGAAGTGTAACGTTTCATGAGGCAACAATGCTCCATTTGTTCTGGAGCTTTATTTTAAAAGTTTCTGCTCCAAACGTCATGTGCAACTCGTTCACTTTCAGCCGAAGCTGGCACATTAATGATCCGATTTTATAAATTATTACAGGAGTCAGAAAATTGTTCACCGAGATTTTGAGCCAGGAAGTTATAGTCGAGTTATTTCTTTTTTTTTTTAATTTGTGTCTTCAATTATTCTTGGCGTTATCTTATCTAAATAACAAAACTTTTTACAGTAATTGTGTATTATTTTAGCTGTATCAAACTATATAGATACTACGAATACACAGGGCGTTGGGAGCGTATACAGCCCTGTTTTTCTGCCGCTAACATAATTAAATATCGCCAGACCCTAACTCCACCATTTTGATAGTGGAGCGGAGGTTTTCAGAAGAAAGCTCTGTGTCGTAATGTTGAACTACAGGCCAAAAGAGACCAAGCATACTGTGAGTTAGATTTTTTTTTTTTTGCGAGTTTGATATTTGGCAAGTTTCTCCAACGAATTTTCTAGATTTTGTGTGTTATACTTCCTATTCATTCGCGTGGGGTTATTGGCTCACGGAACCAGTTGTTCGTGATTATTTTAATATTGCTATATTTGTGACACTGAAGTCTGCGAACGTGCCCTAGATTGTTAATGACATTTTTTTTTTTTAATCGCTCACACCTTTTAAACGTTTTACTGAATATTCGGCATTTTGTTCCAACCCCTAGGCACGTTCTGGCGCAAGTTCGACGGGCCGTAATGTTTGTTTTATTTTTCGAATAGAAAAAGCTATTCTCTCCTAAACATTCGGTACAGGAAAATAAGATTTGTCACAAAATACAAAAGTCCCTCAGATTTGCTAAAGCGGTACGATTATGGCCATTTGTGCAAGAACGCGTGTGTATATATACTACATATTTTTTCACGTCGGTATCAGCACCGGTGTTAAATATGAGTGAAGCAGGTGGAGTGCCCAACGGGTCGAAATGTCAATCCGGACGAAATGTCCGTCGAGTCAACATGTTCATCCAGGTAAAAACGTACATTGACACATAAATGTTCATATAGCCAAAATGTTATTGGACATTTTGATTCGATGCACATTTCATCTTGCTGGACATTTTGACCTGTAATCGTAAAGGACCCAGTTGCGGTCATACTAAAAATAGCGCAAAAGAGACGGGACAAAAAGACGAAGAGGCACACAGGACAGGCGCTAACTGGCAACTAAACTTTATTGAAAGCTTGCAACTTTGCTACCGCCATGCACGCGCTTAGTCTCGTTCAACAGAAACAGGGCGTACCGCCAAATCGGTACGCCCTGTTTGCCAGCAGACCAAGCTTTTACGACCCAGTTGCTCCGCTCCGAGCGCGAAGTGTCTGCCTGTAATAATACTTCGTCGTACGCCAGAGCCATGATGATATCAAATCCTTGCGTCTCGGCCGAGCCATAATAATAACAACGCCTGGCACCCAAAATTGCATGAGCAGGGCAAAAAAAAAAAAAATATATATATATATATGAAGTGCTTCAAAACGTGGCACCGGTGTTTGCTTAAACTCTGGTAGCATGGTATTCAACTTCAGTTTCTACAAAACGGTATTCAATAAACTAAAATAACTATAAATAAACATATTTAAACTTGGCCATGCTTATACATTTCTCTTGCTTCTGGGCTTTCGAAAGTACATTAGGTTTGTAATATCTAGAATATGCATATACATTACGAACGATAAAATCTTGCCTTGGGTACCTATTGTTTACCTAAATTACATTACTTAAAAATAAAATGCATCGTGGTACAAACTACCTTTTTCAAAGTATACTTTGAAATAAGATTTTCAAAATATTTATCGTGCATTTTCCTATCATGGCACTGAATACGCCATGTTAAAGTTGACTGTAGTATTAGCGAAGAAAAATAAAACACAAATGGAAATATTTTTTGCGTTAACTCTTAATAAAAATATTTTTTGTGACTTCGATCGCTCGCTTTAGACTAACCAAGAACACAAAATATTTGCGCAAAACCATTTGTGACTATATATTTTTACAATTACTTTAATAAATCTAGAGCCCCCAAGGCACTCCGAATTTTAGAAAAATAAATACCGCCATATGATAGACAATATTTTAGCTAAAAAACTTTAGCTGTATCTACACTTTTTGGTGCCTCCTGGGGGGATGATTATAGCAGCTTCTGGTTAGGGGTGACTTCGTTCAATATTTGATTGATAATATAGAAAAGACCCATGAAATTCACATCGATCATATAAATGTTTGTGGTATTGTTTTATAATGTTTGGAAACATCCATACCACAAAAAAATACAAAATATAGATAGCATGCTGAAAGTTCATTTTCATAGTCATTCACAGGTTTCCACAGCAAACATTTATTTTCAGCAACCCCCACCACATGGAAATATTCCTGTGATCATAGACATGAGCTTTGCCAGGTATGTATACATACAAAAACCTATCAATCTGTACATTTGAAGAAAAAAAAACAAAAAAAGGGAATTATTTTCTCCCAGGGCGCTCTTCATTCAAAGAATAGCTCGTTTTCATAGAACGCATGAAGAATCACCACGTCATTGTGTTATCCATGACATCCTTCCACGTCGGACTATGGAGGCTGTAGAACTGGGAGTACCACTTGCGGAAAGCCGTAATGGGATGCTCCTCCTTCACCAGCAAAGGGTTCCTGAGGCGAATCTTTTTGTTCCAAACAATGATGTCTCTTTCCATCTGAAATGGGAAGACCCTTCATCAGTACAAATATTTAAATGCTTGAAAGATGACACATGGATATTGGCAAAAATCCTAAAGTGCAACGAGAACCTAAACTTGTCAACGTGATGACACAAGAAAATGACAAACCATTCGAGCTACGGCAAAGCTCACGATGGTCGAATAATGGTCACCTATGTCATCCATAGAAAGAGCTTCCAGCCAACCTTACTTGCCATTTCAAGATGTAACCCTCCTTCCCTTCCCCCTCCACAACGTTCGTCACCAGTTCACTTAAACGCCACCTCTTTCGCTCGTTGCTGCAGCTCTGATATATTTCTGGAAGGACTCACCGCTGCGTGCAGAAAGGGTAGCACTTCAGTCGACTGAGGACAAACATCAGCAGTAGAGGGGACAGAGTCTGTACCTCGTAGGTTTGCCAGCTGACTTACTTTGATAACCGTACTATAGCTAACCACGTAGGTAAACTAACGGTCTGATCAGCAAGAGCAATCCACCTTAGAACCTTCTGATGTCTCAGATGCATTGTCCTAACCATGTAGATAAATACATTAAATATATTTCGAACTTGTTATTCGCTGCATGTTTTCTACATACATTTACTTGGTCATTAATTAATCTTTATTTATACGTACATGTCATGACTCTTTTGTATAAAGTTCAGTCTAGGCGCTCATTGTCTTTACAGGCTCGTGATTTAAAGGTAGAACAGCTAAGAGATGTTCCTATGTTTGCCTCCACTAAAAGCCAGCATTTCCATCCTAGTCTTATATCTAAAGCATCGCCTAAAGCATGTTCCAAACACTGAATAAAATTAGGCGTGTGTTGATCCTAGCTGCATTTAATAACCAAGATAGTGCCGAAAGAAGGGTATGAGCCTTGTATTTGACACGCCGTATGTCCACATGTTAAAGCTTAAAAGCATCAGATTACGATTGGTAAGTGGCCCAATCAGTCCGATTGTCTAACCAGCTATTGCATAACGACCTATTCCTTTAACAGGAAAAAATTCCTACGCTTATCTGGCTTTAAATTTAGCTTTAAAACCGGCAAGTGGTAGGTGGAATATTGATTAGACCACACTTATAAGCCACGAGTATAAGTATGATCGTTCACCAATTAGCCTGCGCGATTACACGTATGTCGTCTAGACATATTGTTCTCAAAAGAGGTTGATGTCTACATACGTCCAGTTTTGCGATATTCTATATTTTAATGCATAATGCCACTAGAGATTCATATTGCTACTCAAAACCAAGAGGCATTGCACCATCTGTGGATTTATAAATGAACAATTTTAACGCTAAACAAATGAGATTTTAATGCGCTAAGTGAATTATCTCCTCATCTCTTCTTTAAAACTATTTTCATAGTAAGAAAAAGGGGGCTTGAATACATTCGTTCACTTTTGACGAGATGAAGGGAATAGTATGGTATGTAGGTTGATTTCAAAGCTCCTACTTTCAAATAACTGCAACAGCTGATTGTCCTATATTGTCAGGCTTTAAATCTAGTGTAATCTTTTAAAGTATATTTGTGTAATGTAGAGCCTAACAGAGCATTAAACGCAATATTAAACCAAATAATAGACATGAAAAGAATTTCTTTGTGCACCACGTTTTCCCGTTTCTATACTTTCGAGTGCGACGCACAACTATCTTCTCTAGACTTCCAAACCCACGCCTTAAATATACAAACCCACCATTCTTCGGTTTCCAAGTTCAAAAAACTTTCGCATAATCCATGGCATCCTAGGCTCAGTGAACGTTAGATGGATCAGTCGTTGTTCCTGTGGTCCCATGGGTGTCACAGCCATGACAGTTATGAAGCCACCGAACACTGTTCGAGCGCGGAACACAAGCAGGGCTGGTCCCAGTGCCCTGAAGTATCCTTCTGTGACGAACTGTTTTATCTCTAGTCCCATGACAGACGGGTAGATAGTAAGGTCAGTTCTGGCAGTAGTTCCTTGTGAAGACCACGCAGCGTCGAAGCGGTAGGACATGAGACGTCCTTTCCACGACTGGCCGGCATCACGGGCAAAGTCTTCGGTGGAAACGAAAGTCGAAGGCTTGTGGATTGCGTTCAGGTGACCAATGTCCGCTCCATTTTCCGAAATGTCTTGAACGTGGCAGAGGGCCCGTCTTTCAAAGCGCGATGTCTGTATCCATGCACCGTTGCTAATCTCTGGCTGATCTTCCACCTCCCAGGACGGTGCTTCACACTCGGCGTGATGCCAGACAAATATGAAACCCAGCAACTCCCGACAGAGCCACGTCTTGACCTTCGCAAACTCCGGCACTGCGTTGCAAGAAAAGATTTTTTTTTTATATCTTAGCACATATTGCAATGGTCAGTTTATTGAGGTCCTATAGGACATTCTCGCGGTGCTTGAGATAGCGCAGAGTAGAACATCGCGTGCACGCGTTCAACACTTCACTCTAATAAGTAGAGAGTTCTGGTAGACTTATATTTGCACACTGATAAAAACAAATTAAAGAAAACAGAACACGGCAGTCTTTTCGCGAGCTTGAAATTATCGAGTGTTTTAGGGTAAACGATACTTCCCGGGACCATAGTCCTGGTAACATGTCTATCTGAAATATCGTTTAGTAAATGTCTTTTTATAGCTCATATGCAATTGACCGAAGCTTGCTTTCGTATACAGTAGTTATATAGTGTGTTTGCAATGCCGACACTCGATCTCAAATGGACCATGAAACCGGGCGCCTTCATGTTGCCGTCTTAACTTTTTGTCAGAGGTGTACATCACAGCTGGGTTTTGACTAACGGGGAGGCCACGTGACCAGATGGGTAGGCGAGGGGGGCTGAGGCTTGCGAGGAGGTGCTCGACCACCTGTGTGCACTGTGGGACAGGAGCTCGAGAGTATAGAAAGCACTTGAAGAGCTCCAGATTTATCTGCACAATTAACGGTAGTATCGCTTTATTCTAGGAACAACTGTCAAGTGTACACAAGCTACATGTTAAACTCTCTGATCAAGAGCGCCGCGCACGTAGGTGTCTGGCGTCTTTAAACTCAGAGTATCGTTAAACGACTGTGAAGCTAGAACGTTTCACGTATGCAACCCGATCGGCCAATACTTTTCCATACACTTTATGTCCACGCTTCTTTATTGTGAATCTCTTCAATGGAGTTCCGATTGGCTACTCCCGGAATCTCACTGGCTGATAAGCGACTATAAGATGTTCAGGCTTCGCCCCGTTTTTTTAGAGCGCAGCTCTTATGCGCCCGTTTTCAGCTTGCGCGGCTTCGCCGTCGCCGTCGGCGTCGGCGTAACCTTGAGGTCACATGACCCTGAAGTCACATGACCACATCCCCTCAGGTCACGTGGCGCCGTGACGTCACGGGTTCACGTGACCTCAGGGGGGGTCACGTGACCTCACGGGGACCACGGGGGGTGAAGGAGAGGAGGGGAGGAGGAGTAGCAAGCAGGATGACGAGGTGAGGAGGAGCGAGGAAATGTATACCCTCCCCTCAGTACCCTTCCATCCTCCTCCTCAAGAGCTGCGCTTTAATTCGGCGTTACAGGGAGTTGTAAACGGCTTTCATTTTTTTAATTTGTGAGTGACTATACATGCCCTGCACGTGACGTCAAGCCACCGTAGCAGCCGTCACTGCTTCGTACCATGCTCGTACCTTCTGCAGCATACATTTAATGGTACCACAATATTTGTTCTTCTCGGTGCAAAGTGACTGCTGCATAAGGTACGGGCACTGGAGCATGGTACGGGGATTAACGATGGCTCATATGACGCCAATGCAAGCGATGCATAAGAATTGATTTTCAATCAATTTCAGTACTCTCCTATATATTGATCTGTTCATTGTAATCAGAGAAGAAAGACGATATTTTAGATGTCCCTAATTTCACATCCTCTCTTTCTATCCATACATTCGCGCCCTACGCCAACATTCGATGTCAAAGATGCTTTATGCCAAAACAGATTGAAGAGAAGTAGTGATCTCATAATTATGGATAATGACATGTCATCAAAATAAGGCGAAAAGCTAAAAAAAGTCTCACCCTTGATGGCGCGTGTCTTCGAGGCGGAACACCACGAAAATAGAACGCAAGAGCCATTCACATAAGTTTCGTCACTCAGATTATAACGAGTGAAGTTTTCTAATTGCGGGGCTGCTAAAACGTAGCTTTTAGAAAGTAAACTAGAAGAAGCGACCAGTGTTTTACTGGATAATTTTAATAATATTGTTTATATTATACCAACAATACGCTATTTATCAACATTCAACCATCTTTCGTGTAATCTATTGGGCGGTTGCGGGCTGCCGAAGCACGAACGTCGGCTGTCGGACACAAAATTTCAAGTTATCATTAAAAGTGAATAAGGTTGACGTTTTTTTGCTTGGCATAATGAAAACAGCGTAACTAGACGGTACAAAGTGAAAAAAAAAAACACGGGACAGGTGCTAATACTGTGTGCTTCTGGTTCATCCGAGTGCGATATTCAACCGTTTAGCGCAACTTAGCAGGTGCTTAGCGCGTGCCCTATGTTGTTCTCTTAACCTAGCCTCGTCTATTTGTGTTGTTCTCAAAATATTTATTTCTATATTTATACTACGTCTCCTATTGTGGAATTCTTAGGAGTGGGGAAAGATGATTGAATAATACAAAAAAAAAATAACAGCATAAAACAACGGGAAACTGTCAGCAGTATCAGCAGGATAGGTATGAAATAGCTTGCGCTATGCCATTCATTCACCAACTAGCCCAGCAAGCCACTTTTCTTTTTCTTTTTTTTTATAGAGCAAGAAATTAAGCTATGTTTAGCGTATCGGAACTTCATTCCACGCTTTTATTGTGGGTGCCGCCATTTTGGGGCTTAGGACAGAATGCGCGCGATTGGCGATCCTTACTATCCGTAAGTGCCCTTTCCTGTTCTTGCGATACAGTGTCTAAACGCTCAGGCGATACTATCTTGCCCTCCGGCAAACTGTTTTAACATTTCTGGAGGACGACGTAAAACCCTTTTTCTGCAATTTCTGATAAAACTTTAGATCGCTGACAACAATTATTTAAGGTGCCAAGATGGCTCAGGGAGCCCTTACCTCTAAGCGTACCATATTTATCGGGTTCTATTCTGTACCTTTGCTAGCATACGGCACGTGGGTGCAGACTCCGTCTTCTGCTCTGAACCTCCAGCCGTGAAAAGGGCACTCGATGCAGTCCCCCGTCACGCGGCCCATGGTTCCCAAATGAGCACCCAAGTGGGGACAGTAAGCATCCATGACGTGAGGCACGTTATCTTGGGTTCGGAATGCAACAAGTTCCATGCCTGAGAAAGAAGCATATATGTACTTAAAATAAATGCGTTATCACTGACAATTTTGTTAGCCACCCATGCAGTTCCTTACGCACCGATCGCACTGATGGACTCGACTTTGTTCTTCTCCAACTTTGAAGACTCGAGTATCGGGATCCAACCGTTCGGGAACACCGGTGGTAATCCTCCTGGGGAGCGCCGAATTCGGTTCGAGTGGCCCTGGGGGGTGAACAAAAATGCTAAAGGGGCACGTTGATGTGGTGTTGCATTCATCTATGTTGATGTGTCTCTCCTAGTTTCGTACACACTATGTGCGCCCAATGATGAAGCAGTTGTGCAGACGTCGTCGGAAATTAATTTTTATATGTTACCCCTTCCCTTATGTAATACCCCTAACCGGGTCTTTAAGGTAATAAAATGAAAATGAAATTAAATTATAGTAGACACCAAAACGTGGCGAAGACTTGCAGTGCAGAAGACACTTGCCCCTTGCACATGTCTGCCCCAGCGCTGTCCCGCTCTAATTCCGCCCGTCGTCCCGCGTGAGAGCTGTGCTTTTGGCCGCCCGAGGCCAATGTTGCCCGACGATGCCAAAGGTTTGGTTTCGGTTTCTGATCACGTTCAAAATAAAATTTCATAAAACATATCCCATTTTCGAAATGCAAATGACGTAGTGTATTTTATTAGTGCTTTTCTTTATATTGTGCACGTGCATGAGCGAAAAGGAAGCGTCTTCGTACTCCTAGAACGTAAAGATTACTCTTACTCTGAATGACTCTCAGCGTAAAAGATAAGAATGCCAACATTACATTACCGAGTCAGTCTCGTCCTAGCTCACTCCCGAACATTCTAGGTCGAATATTCGATATGACGAGTGTATTAGATCAGGAGCCGAGAGTGTTCTCGCCGACTCTCTCTTTCGCAGTATCGCTCCAGCCAGCTTTCAAGCCGACGCAGCGACGTTGCCTGCTGCTGTTTCGACGTTTACACTTTCTTTCGTTTTTCGCACAACTTCGCCGATCAAAGCTTCATTTTAAGTTTACGCTCGCCGAGCCTTTTCCATCCCTGACAAAATGGAGTCACGCATGAACACAATTTTTTCGGAATTGAGAGGAGCTGCCAGGGGACCCGGAATCCATGTTAAGAAGACCGCGACGGACTTCCCTTTTCAAGCATCTGGCCGGATATCAGCACAAGACATTTCCGTCTTCCGTCGGATGGGCGTTGCTATCTTGGAATCACATGACGCGGCCGCCATACGGTGGCTCCCGACCCGTAGCTCAGCTCTTCCCTACGCGCCTTGGCGGATGCATTGCATTCTCATATTTCGTCGCGTTTCACCGCGAGGAGCGCCGTCCTATGCTTATAGACGCTTTACAGCAGCTGTGCATGGGCGCCGCCATAACTGACCTTCAGTTTTTGTTCCCTCTTATTCCGTTCGCTTCACTTCATCATTACCACAGCAGGACAGGTTATTGCCATCTTAGGTGCTACAGTGTACTTGTGCCCAGCATAGGCCCTTGTGAAGACCCGTCAACGCCCGCTTCAGTGGCTCGGCATCTCGGTAAGACAAGAGAAGGGCAGCTATGGCGGCTCAATCTGGCGCGTGTGTAAAGCGTCTATACAATAGTATGCTTAAATTCATGTAAGGTGCACAACTTCTGCACTTCAGTTTATAACCCGTTTTAACTACTGACTTCGTTCAGTGACTAGTCGGCGCACCAGATACGTGTGTGTCAGCTAGAGGAGGCAGAGGAATCAGCCTGAGCACAGATGCACATTGAGTGTGTAGATGTCTTTAATAAGGATTTTGCTTGGGGGATTTGGAGCGGTTTTATACCATAGTTACACAAGCGCTCTCAACTGCCACTGACCCAACCACCGTTTGACTCAATCGCGATCGGCCGGCGTCAAGCTTGGTCACACAATTCTGTAAGTCGGACAGAGTGCGACTAGAACGCTTGACGACGTTAATCCTTTTACGGGTTGCTAAGGCAGCAGCTGCGTCGGCTCGAACAAAACGGGGTCAAAATCGATTTTGGTTGAAGATTGCATACGACCGCACGAGGGTTGAGAGGCCAATTCCAAATTACAGGGCAGGATGTCTTATTGACAGTAGCGGAACATTAGCAATAAAAAGTGGAATGTACATGTATGATCGCGTATCTAGGATATTAACACTCGATAACTAGTGTCAACTTAAGGTGCCACCATATCTGTTTTTGAAAAAAATCGTGCTCTGTCTTGATGAGAAATCGAAAACAGAGGGTCTTGATTTTATGGAAAAATTTTTTTGCTGCCCTAAATATTCGTTTGTTCGGTTTATTTATGAATTTAAAGAAGCTTTACATTGTGCTCGGTCCTAAGACTGCACTCATTTGGGTGTCTTAATGTTTTGCTGAAGATATATAATTCAATTATTTCTTTTAAACAGAAGTGCTAGGTATTCCCATTGTACAAACTTTTTTTCCCAGAGAGCTTGTGAGCGCCATGAAGTACGCGATATGTGAATCTCAAAAGAAACTGTCTGAATAAGAATCATCAGAATGCAGCCTTGTCGATGTAGGACTTACTTTCAGCGGCTGGCAACTCTGCTGAAAGTAAAAAGCGCATCTGTTTAAAAGAATAAAATCGGTCTACACAGGTCCATGAAGTGGTACCTGGCATTCGACTCCAGCTCAGCTTGCAGGAGGTCCTTTCTCTTTAACCTTTTATTTTCATTTCGCAATTTTTTCAAGAAAACAGATGCCAACCCTAACCTGACGGGTCTCTCATTTATCTCATAATTTCTTCAATAAAAAAATGGGAACAATATTATTATTATTATTATTATTATTATTATTATTATTATTATTCCTCCTCTTCCTCCTTTCCTTTTTTTTCTGTCATCTCCTTGTCCCATGCAGAAACGATTGCGCTTGAAAGTGAGAATTTCAATTTCATGATTTTTATGTGAGCTTGTTATACGCCTCCTTCACAAAGTACTAGGAGTTTTCTAGAAAAATTAAAAAAAAACACTCAACTGCATAACAGGGGCTAATTTTGCTTGGTTGGCAATAATAATAATGATGTAACAAAACAGGATCGATGTGATATGTCTGATCATTTGAACATACTTGCAAACGAGGGTATTGGAAGTGCTTTTAAAGCTCGTACAAGAGAAGAGATATTATCAGGTAAACTAGTCACGTCCTGCATCGATCATATCTGAGTTCGAGCGGAGAATACCGTTACAATGTCATCGGTTATCACGCAAAATCTCGCCGATCATTATTTTGTAGGATGTCAGTTTGTAAACCCTGGGGAAACCAAGGCTGAAGCCGAAACAAAGCAAATAGAAATTATCCATAATGTAAAACTAGGTCGCCTCATTTCGACATTTGACTGCATCTCGTTTCGTAAGTCTACATCCCAATCTGACCTCTACACAGTGTTCACACAGATCATTAATTCTTTCACAGAGAAATGTAAACGAACAGTTAGAATTAAAAAAAAAACCGAAGACCGGATTACGCATGGCTATAAACACGGAGGTACTTACCGCCATAAAAGCAAAAGAACTCGCTTGGGCACGGAGTCGGCGAGCATCAGAGAATAATAAACTTGGTTCTGAATTTATAATCACGAGGTACAGAGATAATGCTATGCTTCGACTGGCGAAAAGAAAGCACTTCAAGGACAAATAAGAAAAGGCCCGATTTAGCTCTTCACAGGCATGGTCACTCGTCAATACTGTTTGTAGTCATCAGCGAAAGCCATTTGTGGAGGACCTTGTAGAAAAACATTTTGGTAACAATTTGACAGAAATTGTTGAACCATTCAATTCCTACTTTGTTAGATCCACCCGTGCTCCACAAAGAGCTGGTATTTCGGAAGCAGTAATAGAGATGAACGCAACCTCCGCTTTTCTTTGTCCTATGAGCTTGGACGATTTACGTTCCATTATTTTCAGCATTAAGCCTACTAAGTGTCCAGACGTGGATGGTATAACTCTTGGATCTCTTCAGAGAAACTTCACATATTTGCAGGATAGCTTCTTTTCGTGTTGAACGAATTTATCGAATCGGGCATGATCCCTAATGAGCTTAAGACTTCTATAGTGCGACCGATCTTCAAAGGCGGGGTTCTTAAAAAGGTAGAAACCTACCCCCGATTTCGATTTTGCCCGTGCTAGAACATGTTTTTGAGAAACACATTTTTTATATAATGACTCGTTTCATAGATCAGTGTTTACTGTTTTCTTCTAGGCAGTATGGGTTTATTTCTGGGAGTGGTACACAGTTGCTTTTAGAACATGTAGCTGGCGAAATTTACTCTGCTTCTGAGGTCAACTTGCTTCTTTGCGCCGTTTTTCTAGACGTCAGCTAGGCCTTCGTACGGTAAATCACGATATTTGTTTGGAGAAACTTTGGAGGTTCGGTTTCCGTGGACCTTTTCACTCGCTTTTGGCAAATCTGTTAGAAGGTAGGGCCCAGATGGTTCTATAGATAAAGTTAATAGCTCAACGCAGTTTCTCGAAACTGGCGTCCCTCAGGGGTCGGTGCTATCCCCATTACTTTTTAATGTTTATTTAAATGACCTAGAATCTGTTATTTGTGGATGTAATATTTTTCAGTATGCCGATGACACCTTACTTGTTTTACGACGTATCAATTTCGATAGGGCGGTTCGCGCTCTACAGGGAAATGTGCTTAAAGTTATGGTTTGGTATGCGGCCAACCGTATTTTTGTTAACCCATTATAAACTAAACTCGTCTGTTTCCGTATTCCCTAGAAACCTTTTTTTTTCAGTATCAGTCTTTTTTTCGATAGTTGGCACTAGTAGCCACACTCCATATTAGGATGTCATATGCTATCAATATGAATTATGCAGTAACAAATTGCTCTCAAAGGTAAAATGTGTTTGTGGCGATATATATCGGGCGAACGATGCTCGATGGTTTAGATAGAATACCGTTAATATCAAAACTCTACGACATCTTTCAGAAAACAAAAAGTTTGAAGATCTAAGCGCTGGTGCTAATTAAATGTTCGAAGATATGAGAAAAGTGTCTTTGCTGACGTTATCCTGTTTTTTTTTTTTCATTCCTTTTCATGTTTATGTTGAAACATTCGGTGTAGACTCCCTGTGGGCATACTCTCCTTCACTCAGTCGCATGGATCGCAGCCGATGGTACGATCCCACGTAGCCAATCAAGCAACGACAAAGGTGCGTCGTCATGGCGCTCACGCGTTCACTTTGTAGCATTGCCATCACCGGCTTATCAAGAATAAAGAGCCACAATGAGTGCATCTCTCATCGCTGCCTCGAGATTAGGGGCCCAAATATTAAGCACCGCACCGTGAAAAGCGCGAGTCACTGGGCGTTTTCTATTTACGATTGGTTCTGCGATTACAGAACACGTAGAGAAAAACGACGAGCATCATGACGTGGGTTTTTGACGCTGTTTGATTGGTTTTATTGGTTCGTAACTTCGCGGCTGCGTCTGAAACAACGTTACTAGATTAGCTACGTTAGCTACGCTACCTGCCTGCAAGTCACGTTCGTAGTTGGGCCAGTCGTTATGTCTTATAAAATCAACAAAACAGCGCGAGAGACCAGTTGAACAAGAGGCCAGGTACTGCGCCAACTCCCGAATTACCTTCTCTTTCACTACAATATGCGCGTATATTAAAAAAAAAAAAAGAAATCCTGAGAGCAGAAAGGGTCGGCACTGCCGCTAATATTTCTCATGTCTCTTTCTTGTTTTTTTTTATTTTCTATAGCTTGAACTGGTTATGAACTGCAGTCAAGAGTTAACGGAGTGTCTATATTCTGCTCCTAATGGGCCTTGCCCTTTTCTACACAGAGTGTTATACTTTTCGCGCTTGAAAAAGTATTATACAGGGTGTCGCAAAAAACAAAATACAGTTGTTTTTTTTACCGCAAAAATAAACTAGGCATCGCCGAACGCACGTTCTCTGCCCAGAGGTACCACCAGAGGCCACAACCAGTAGCCAAAGTTTCAGCCCGATCCGATACCTTGATCATAAGTTATAAGGGGTTTTCGAAAATTTCATTGGAAAAATGGTGGCCGACGGAGTTTTCGAATACAAAGGGATCTATTTAGGCACCAGAAACCGGAAACGGGCAAAAATGGGCTCCATTTTCCCATTCAAGTTTTCGGAAAATAACTTATAACTTGTGAATAAGGTGTCGAATCGAGCTGAAACTTTGGCATCTGGTTTTAAACTCTAGCGCTATTTTTGGGCGGAGAATGAGCGTTCAGCAATGCCTAGTGTATTTTGCAATAAAAAAAAAAAAACTTTCATTTTTCTTTATTTTGTGACACTGTACATCTTTGAATGTTTTATGCAGAGGTTACAATTCCTACAAAAACAAGAAGTATGTTTTGATACAGACCATATCCAATAGTACTCTACAAAAAAAGAAAAAAAGAAAACGTTAAAATAGTTTGAAAGTTAAGGAGTTCTATGAGTACTTCGGGGACACGCGTTACAGATTTTTAGGTCTTATTTAGAGCATCGAGCGCAATAGGTTTGTCTGAATGGGAATTCTTCCTCTATGAAACCTATTTTTTGCGGTGTTCCTCAGGGCAGTATATTAGGTCCCCTCCTTTTTAACCTCGATGTTAATGACGTCATCAACATTAACCCAAATGTCAAATTTGTAAATTACGCCGACGACACAACGCTACTTATTTCGGTCGAGGATCGCGACGTGCTAGTGGACATTGCAAATCTGACGCTGTCGAGATTTGAAATTTGGAGCAGGGAAAATTCATTAAAAATTAACATAAACAAAACTAAAGCTGTACTTTTTCGCTCGAGAAATAAATCGATTGGAATAATGACACATATTGCTCTTAACGCAACCCCAATTGAGATTGTGAGCAATTTTAAGGTTTTGGGAGTGATGTTTTCTGAGAATATGTCCTGGGATAATCACATAAATTATATAATTCCCAAACTGTCACGAATAACTGGATTGATATATCGCCATCGATCAATTTTGCCAACGAATGTGAAATCACTAATCTACAATTCTCTGTTTATTCGCATTTAAATTATGGCCATCTTGTTTGGGGCTCAACTACATCATCGAACCTTGAGAATATATTTTTATTACAAAAAAAAAAAAATACTGAGGTCCATCGGCGGCGTCCCGTTTGACCCCCATACAGCTGGTCTGTTTAGGGCTTTCCGCGTTATTAATATATACACTTTATACAATTATAGACTTAGTAATATCTTTAAAACAGAAAACGATAGAAATACACGTTTCCTTACAAATTTGGCTAATCTTTATCTAAAAGAACCGGTTTACCCCACTCGTCATGCACACCTTTGGGAGATGGTGGCTCGGAGAACAAATTACGGCTCCCAGATGGTTCGAGATACGTTGCCTAAATTGCTGAACCAGTTAGAAGAAAGTGAACTGGAATTGAATAGAATATCACCAAAACAACTTAGAGAATATTTTATAGGCTTGGATAGGTAAATTAGCAATGATTTCATAATTCATGTAATATTTTTTTTTATATTTTTTTAATATATATATATTTTTGATTCCTCGTTTGCTTAGTACTATTTTGCTCTTGTATAGTGTCCGCTTGTTTCACCTTGAACCATGTTTCGGTATGGAAAATCTTTTTTGTATGTGTTTTTTTTTTTGCTATTTCTGCTATTTCGCCTATGTAGGAGGTCGAGGACCTTGTCAAGCTGTACTTTACAACTTTTTTTCTCGACCTCCACCATCAGTGTTGATGGAAAATAAACTTACTTACTTACTTACTTAATTCACAATTTTAACTTATTCACGACGATCTCCTTTACTCACGCATTATAGATCTCCTTTGCGCACGCAACATTGTCTGTGCTGTGCGACAGATCTATTTAACCGAGACAGGTGGGAAAAAAAGCAATTTTTGTGCCATCTGACAGAAATATGCTGGACAACTATGTCCAAACATCAAGTCGACCTGCGCCTTGATCATTGAGAAAAACAAATAGGGGGATTTCATATGATACAATGAAATAGAGGTCTCATATGTGCATGCGGCTTTCTTTTCAATAGGAATAGACTTTTTTTATCAAATATATTAATAACCTTACCTCTTTGTGTCCTATCGCATGACGACGATTGATATAGTATATCCAAGATAGTCCGCAAAGAAGGCCGAAAGCGGACACGTAGAGTAGTCCTTCAGGAGTCCATGGCGCACGAGTTCCCTCCATAGCAGTCGCAAAAACTACAGGATAGTGCATCTGAGCAGCTTATACTAGAGAGGCAGGAGTACGACTTCTGGATACGAACGGCTTGGTGTGCTCATGGCCAGAATAGCAAATGTTCAATCGAAAGGAACGTGGAACGTCGAGGGTCGGGCTAGTTGGTATTCGTTGATTATGATCTAGAAACAGCGCCAAAAATAGGGACGGAGCAGAAGATACACGCGAACGGGGCAAACGCTCCTTGTGGAACTTCGGGGATTTCCAAAGGAGTGAAGAGGACGCGCGCACAGCTTTAATCAGCATTCGTCTGTTTGCGTGTTTCTTACTCTCCGTCCACGCTTTATTAATTAATTTTTGTTGATTTTTTTTCTGTATAATTTTTAAAAAAGTAGGAATGCATGCATATATTGCACCGCCTGAGAAGAAATACATAAACCAAGGCCTTTCATCTAAACGATCTTCCTTAAGGCAATAGATCGCTAGATAAAAACCAGCTCCACTGACTTGAAAACTCCGTTCACTTCGGACTCCGTACTTCTTAAAACAAAGAATAACTAAGACTGGGACAGCGCAGCGTATTGAAAGACACCGCACTACTCATGTGCGAATGTTGCGATACCTAAAACTACACTTTTTGCTGCATATAATTCTGCAAGCGGAACGGGGAAAGTGCATTTGGGGGTATGCGCCTTGCAAGTGGGCGCATTTCGGTCTTCTGCGCATAGGAAAGGAGGTGTGAAGGTGGGAGAGGAGGTTATACTAAGCTTCGCCTCCTCGGAATGGGGGTAGGGGTCGCGGATGGAAACATCTCGGCGTCGGCAATGGCGAACGTGCTGTAGCAGCTGTGGCTGTAGCCGTGAGTCCTTCCCGTGCTTGCTAGTTAAAAGAAAGAGAAGAAAACGTTCCGCTTCTGTCCTGTGTGGAGGCCGTCCGCATATATACCGATGGAAGGGGCTGAAGCTTGGTTTGCCTTCTTTTTGTGCACCCATATAGAAGGCAATGGACAGTGGTACCGCTTGCATCCTTGCTATGTTCCTCTAGTCTAATTGGATAGTATCTTGCACTGGACACGCTACCAGCAAGCCAGCGTCTGTCGTGCTTTCCTCCTTGACCAATGTAGCCGCACGCCGCGCCGTGTTGCTAAGGGCAAGGCGGCTTCACTCAGGGAGGGGCGTCTCCGCTCCAGCAATATTTTTACACAAGAATGACCTCTGAGGAATTTATCTATTACTAACCTGATGTCAGACCCCAGTGACAATTTTTTATCACGCAACAGCGCAAAAAAGGTGTCGAAAGGTGGTGTTCTGATGCAGAGGGGAATGTTCAGGTGCCTAAGACATCTATATATAGGAACTACTGTTTGTGGAACTTCTGAAAAGAGGAAGAAGCATGCCAAGCTTTACTCAGCACTCGATCAGCCTGAGCGAGGGCACGCGTTCCAGTTTCTTCGACTGCATTGCTGCAGAAAGATGGTTTGAGTAGATAGCTATACCTCATTCCAGACATCATCATTGTTACACCATATTAAACTAACCTGAGGTTCGCATCCGAAACGAGTCAGAATAAGATTAGCTAGAAATGTTCGTGCGGATGCAGATAAAAGCGCAACATTAAAAGAAAAGTAAGCACAAAATGCACGTGGTAGGCATCTGTCAGACACCAATGCTCCAATGTTTTTGAGCCACACAAGGTATGTATATGTTCTTCAACGCTACGTATTTTCGTTAACAGAAGCTTCCCGTATGCCAAGCTTATTTGTCTGAATATATTAAATAATTGATCATATATCAAAATAATTATATACATTAAATTGAAATTATTCCGCAGTCACAAATCAAAGAGTGAGAACTGAAACATTATATATATATATATATATATGTGTGTGTGTGTGTGTAGAGAAAGAAAAAACTTAGCGCAGGATGCCGAAACGTATGTCCGGCAGAATAACGCACTTCAGACGGTTGTTTGAAGTTTTAAAACATATTATTCGTAAATGTTTGTCGACGTTTCGGCCTGAGACAGACCTTTTTCACGAGTGGTTACGGTCTTGAAATGTTATGTGAAGTTATGTTATCTGAAGAATGTTTCAGTTGTAACCCTTCGATTTATGACCGCGGAATAATTTCAATTTGTCGCACACACAACGGCAGTCAAAGTCATTGATTTCTTTTCAAGCAAATTATATTGTTTCATATTTTCTTGCTTATGCTGCGTAAACATTCCTATTTGTTGTCTGTTCCCATTTCTTTTTGCCGTCATGCCCACAAACAGTTGTAAACCCTTTTGTTTTGTACACTGAAGGTTCCCTCAGAGAAAAATAAGTAAATTAAAAAATACGTAGAAAATATACGTAATATACAAACGAAGCAAATTTAAAAAAAAAAAAAAAAGTGAAAGCCGTTTACAGCTCCCCGTAACGCCGAATTGGAGCGCAGCTCTTGAGGAGGAGGAGTGAAGGGTACTGAGGGGAGGGTAGACCCCTCCTCTTTCTCCTCCTCCTCCCCTCATTCTTTAATATGCTCCGGGGGGGTCACGTGACCTCGGGGGTGGAGGGGTGTCACGTGACTTCGGGGAGGGGGGTCACGTGACCTCGGGGAGGCGTGACCTGGGGGTCCGTGACCTTGGGGTGACCTTGGGGGGTCACGTGTGGGTCACGTGACCTGAGGTGACCTTGGGAGGGGTCACGTGACCTGGAGGGGTCACGTGACCTTGGGGAGTGGACCACGTGACTTCGGAGGGGTCACGTTACCTGGGGGTCACGTGACCTTGGGATGACCTTGGGGTCACATGACCTTCAGGGGGTCACCTTGGGGGTCACGTGACCTTGAGGCGACCTTGGGGGGGTCACGTGACCTGGAGGGGTCACGTGACCTTGGAGTGACCTTGGTGGTCCCGTGACCTTGGGATGACCTTATTTACGCCGACGGCGACGGCGACGCCACTTAAGCCGGAAACGGGCGCCTAAGAGCTGCGCTCTAAAACGAACAAAAGAATGCAATAGTAAATATTTAAATATACTAACCCTTTACCACAAATAATTAGACTGCCCTGCAAGGTTGCCTTGGTTACATCTAAATCGCTAAAAACTATTTTAGTTGCCCTTTTCTATGTATTTGTAAGCCATGTACATTCTACCTAAAAATTACGACTGACCCCGCTATAGGTATTACTACTTTATAACAACAAGAACACCTCAGTTTTCATGACTCCGGATACATTATTGGGAAAAAGATCAAGTCTTTAATTACTTGAAAACGAAGTGCTTTTTCTTGTTGTTTTTTATTTTCGTGTGTGCAATATTTACACCCCCTGTGCACACGTAATAGTCTGAATAAGCATCGGCAAATATGTGCGGTCATGTAATCACGACTTCGTGGTGGATGTTAAAAAAACCATGTTGGCAGTGCCACCACACAGGCCTAATTACCCGTCTACTGCGGAGACGTCAAATGCAATCGTATGGCAGACTAACCTCCAACCGCTGAAACCTTAAGAGTAAATTTGACTTCCATGGGTTCGCCCCTTTTATAGTATATTATCTTTTCCAAGTTTGATTTTGCACTGTAAATAAACCTTTCTGTCAAAATGACGGGAAATGTCTTGACAGCTCTATTTCCAAGCTTTTTACCGTCAAAACAACGGTAGGCCGTCATTCTCAATTGGCGATGTTTTGTCTCATTTTGACGCCCTATTTGTTACCTGGAATACAGATAAGCCGTCAATTCTATCGTCATTTCATTAGACGGTCCGGCGTCATTTTTACGTCCTAATCACCATCCTGAAATACACTCGAGCACTACTCATTTCAACATTTTAACGTCATTTCATTATGCAGTCAGGCGTCATTTTGACGTTTGCTTGTTAATCTGAATCACAATTCGGTCGTCAATTTCACTATACTGCGTTCATTCATAAGATGTGACTGCGGTAGGAGGTACGTGCCGGTATGATCAATTAGCCGCCTCCTTTTCATTACCTGACCAGCTCTCTGCGCGTGGGTATGGGCGAGAGCGTGATCACGTGGCGAGAGACGCCTGACTGGTTCAAGGACGTATAGCTCCCGCCGCAGTCTCTCCTTACTGGTGAACGGAGTATGTCCGACGACATTGCATTATACGATCCGGTATCATTTTACTGCATTCATGAATCACTTGACACTAGCACCGTACCGTGATAAGATGTGTGCTCGTAATTCTTATTTATCGAAGTTTATGACGCTGCAGGCTCGTTTCATCATCCTCCCGTTGAGTGTTTCGAAGTTAGAAATTGAACGGTGATAGTCAAAATTAGTTTAGACTACATAGAGGCCCAGCGACGTTAAGGCGAAGTTCAAAGCAGAGAACCCCGAAATAAAAGAAAAAAGAGGGACCCAAAGAATAATCTCAATTGTTGTTTATGTCCTCCCTTCTTATTGCTTGATGTTTGGATTTCACAATGCTGTAAGTCGAACAGCTCGCCTGTGTCTTTTGTGTCATTCCTGTTAATATAACGTTGTCAGGGTTGTGCAATATTTGATCAAATAAGCTACAAAAATTGGTATCTCTTCTTACATATTTCTTTCTTTTAAACACTGGATGAAACATATGTTACAAAGATGCACAGTAAACTTGCGGCTTGCTGTGTGATCTGACAAATTGCATTTGCCAGAAACGAAGCTTTTTTCCTTTTCCTTTCTTTTTGCACGCCTTACTTCTCATTCTTTTTGGTTCGTACCTTGGGCGTTGACCACCAAGAAGAGCCATGGACCATTCTCGAAAACCTAAACATAATTCTATACCATCATTAGATGCATGTAGGAGACTGCGAAGGTGCAGGCTGTGCATGCAGCGGCCCCACACACCTTTAATGAGCGTTACCAAATACCACTAAATCAACCAATTTCAGTCAATATTTTGAGCACCATTGGAACATAGCGGGGTGCAAAAGTTGCCACTTTTGATACAGGCGCAAGGCTGGCGATAAAAAAAAAAATACATTGCATGTGTTCTCAATGTATTCACATATTAAAACGTAACTGATTTTTGTAGTTTTCGACAGAGCCCAGCCTGTTTCCTAATGCAACTATGTTTTATACATGTAATATCGTGAGTGTG